CACTGTGAGTAGGAAAAGAACGCGCTAGACCTGAGGAGCTTCTTGCACGTTGGCAGCCCCACTAACTGAAGCCAAGCCGGACGGTTAACCGCCAGCCTGTGAAGCAAAAGGAAGGCAAAAGGAAAACTAGGGGCAAGAGAAGTCATGGCATGTGGAGTATGCGAGAGCCAGTGCCATGCTAGCTCGGCACACTGCTCGGCCCAGTGCAGTCTACGACGTCCCGGCCGTATGCCTGCCTGTACTGTACCCCCTCTATATACAAACGCCTTCGTAAAAACACAGTTTCGCTCCAGGTTGCTCGGAGTTGCTCTCAAAACATGACCAAACAACCTTAGTTGTGCCCTGTGAATGTGGTGGGTGAGTGGGGGCTGGTCGGCAAGGGCTCGGACTCCTTCATTTCGGATGGTCTGTGCGAGGGGGTTGTCTGTGAGGATCTTGGTGTAGTAGGTGGCTTTGATCCGTTGGATCTTGCGGAGTGACTGTGAGTGGAAGGCCTCAAGCCTGTGGAGGTCTGCTGTGGTGAGCGCAGCGGACTCCATGCCATAAGCAATCATGGGGATGAAGACCGCGTTGTAGATGCGCAGCTTCCACGCTACGCTCAGGCCTGTATGTCGCCAAAAGGCGTGCAGGGTGTTGAAGTGCTTCCGCGCCTTCCCCAATCTTGCTGTGATGTCCGCCTTGCTGGACGAGTCCTGGCTGAGGACAACGCCGAGGTACTTGGCCTGTGTGACTTCCTTCATTAGTTCACCTGTGAGGAAGTGTATGTGATTGACGGCCAGCTGTGAGCGAAGCAATTCACACTTTTTAAGATTCAACGAGAGGTTGCTGTGAGCGGCAACTTCCTGAATCTTGTGCAGAATTTGCTGGCCCCTTTCCGCAGTACCTGTGAAGATGGCCATGTCGTCTGCGTAAGCGAGGTCGTAGAATGGTTGGTTCTGGCTGAAAAGCCACGGAAGCATCTGGCCGTGCTGCTGCAGCTCCGCGTCGACATCGGCCATGATCATGCTGTGAACCACCAGGAAGAGATAGGGAGAAAGCGGACAGCCTTGGCGAATGCCCGAGCTTGCGAGAGACTGCTGGCTCTGTTGTCCTGCTGCCTTGACTGTGAAGGAGGGGTTGTTGTAAATCGAGCCAATCAGATTGACAAACGACGGCGTCACTCCGTGCCGTTCGAGTGCCACCGTTACTGCTTGTGGGTGGACTTTGTCAAATGCTTGGCTCCAGTCAAGAAGCTGCACGTACAGAGTTGAACCGCAGCGTTCGGCTCGCTCCAACAGCCTCCTTGCCACATGAATCGCCTGTGAGGTCGATCTGGTGGCTCTAAACCCATACTGTGTGGGTCGCAGCTTGTGGTCTATCGCCTGCTCCAGGCGTTTCTGGAGGAGCCTGGCGAAGAGCTTGTAAGAGGTGCTGAGGAGTGCGATGGGGCGGTAGTTGTTGGGGTCCGCCATGGTGCCTCGCTTGTGAACCTCAGCCACTACTGCCGTTGACCATTCTTCCGGTACCAGACCTGTGAGCAATGCGTCGTTAAAAAAGGTCCAGTAACGGTTGCCGGTTGGCCTCTGCCGGAATTTGATCCGGGCCTGGTGCTTTGTGTGAAGCCATGCCTTTAAGGGTGGCGTTGAGCTCCTCCATCGTGATGGGTTCCATGTTGACTGGACTTTCGTCCGTCAGTTTGTGGGTGGGTCCTGTGTAGTCTGTTGGTGGCGGGGCCCACTGAACTTCCGACAGGTGTTTGGCAAAGGTGTCGGCCTGCTTGCTGTAGCTGGTGGGCTTGCCGTTGGAGTCGTGTAGAATGACCGTACGGGGCCTGTAGTCCGAGCGAATGTGCTTGATCCAGCGCCACTTGTTCCGAGCGTCCATGGTCTCTTCGCTCTCCTGAAGGCGATCCTTGAGCCATTGTTGCTTGTCCCTGCGGGCCTGTGAGCGGATGGTCTTGTGCAGTTCGCGCTGGCGAGCGGCAGTTCCCACGTCTGCTGGCTAATCCAGGGATGCTTGAGTTTGCTGTCCTGTGCGGGGATATGCTTCTCCATGGACTGCAAAATGGAATCCTTGATCGATTGCCATTGCTGGTCCAGCCTCTGCTGGTCGGTGTTCGACTGTGAAGGCTGGGGGGAGACGTCCTCCACATCGGCCTCGTGTGGGGTAGGCTCCTCGAAGGCTGGCTTATGTTGAAGGGTTTCTGTGAAGTGTGTGTTGAAAGAAAGAATGGACTGTGCATCAGGGCGTCTGGTCGGCTTGGGGGTGGGTGCTGCTCTCTTGTGGCAGGCTGTGTGTAAGGAGAGTGCGACTCTGGTGAGAAAGTGGTTGCTGTTGAGAGCGGCGTTCGGGAGGGTGTGCACATCAGTGACCATATTCTTCCAGGCGAACTTAGTGATGGCGTGGTCCAGCTGAACTAGGTCGCCGTTCGGGCGCTGGTGTGTCATCCGGTGTTTTTCGGCTTTGTCCATCCACGTCTGTGGAAAACATAGGTCGTGACTGACCGACATCTCGAACAGCTGCGCGTGATTGGACAAAGAGTCATCCTCGCCAGCCTGTGAGGCTAAGGTCTCATCGGCCACGTTCGCTCCAAAGTGGGCGTGGGGCCCGACACTGCCTCGATTGGCCGAGAGTTCGTCAAGCAGTTGCGCGTTGAAGTCGCCCACCACTATAAGGGGTTCGCTGGCGGGGTGGCTGTGAAGGATGTCCCCGAGTGACTGCCAGAAGGCATCGCGGACCGGCTGCTCACGTTGATTGTGAGGAGCGTACACCACCTGAACTGTGAGAGGGGCTTCGGCTGTGTCGATCTTGAAAGAGAGGAAGCGACCGTCGGTGGCAACGATGTCCAGAATGCAAGGTGTGAGCCGCGGGGAGGTAATCAGGGACACCCCCGTGAAGGTCTGTACCGGATTGCCCTTGGCATCCAGCTTGTCATCTGCGCTGTGTGTGACGGTGTACCCATCGATCATAAAGCGGTCCTGTTGCTTCACGTGGGTCTCTGTGAGGGCCAGCCAGTCAAGACCATGCGTCTGCATGATCTTGATCAAGGTGTGGATCTTGCCAGCTTCAAGAAGGCCCGTGGTGTTCCAGAACCCCCCTTTCAGATGCACTTTGGAGCGCAGCTGTGTGGAATGCCTCTGTCTGCCGTGTTCTTGAGGGCTACGGCAGTGGGTCTTGAACCAGTGTGCTCGGGTGTGCTGCTTGTTTTGAGTATCGTGGGCCTGGGTCCAGGAATCACGGCCACTGCTCACCTGAGGCTGTGAGGGGGGGGGTGGGGTTGGGCGGAGAAGTGAGAGAGGGGGGGAGAGTGTCCGCTGTGAGAGGGGCTGTGGTGGAGGAGCCTTCCGTTGGGGAGGCAGGCGGGCCAAAATGGCCAATTGGTGGGGTGGCAGGCTCCCATATTCGAAGCCTCAAATGATTGGGGGTGGATCGGTTCTGTGGGGGGTGTCTCTTCACTCTCATGTCTGGAGCTTTGGCCAAAAGGCGGTGGAAACGTCTGCAAGAGCGAAACTGGGGGCTTCGGCCCTTAAGGGAAGCCCTGGTCGAAACAGGCTGTAAGCCGCCCGGGGTTGGGGCAGTCGGCGTGGGGCCGTATAAAGGCTTTTGGTTGTTGATCCTAGCTCTGGAGCCCAAACCACAACTAGGGGTTGGAGAGGTGGATAGAGCATGCCTCCAAGCTCTGTATTCCCGCCTGCTGCGAGATCTGGTGGTGATGCGGCGGCGTGCTCGCCGCTGCCGTGCTGTTTGTGACCTGAGGTGGCGGTGGTATTGTGCTCGGGTCTGTGAGGAGGGGGGTGTCCGGGAAGTGGTGTGGGGTCTGTGGGGCACTTCGTCGCCGAAAGGCACACTAGAACAACTCTCAGAGCAACCTGGAAAAGCGAAACTGTGAGGTGTAGATGGACTAGAGTTACAATAGTGGCTCGGCGCACCCAGCTCGCCTTTAGGTGGCGTGCCAGAACGGTTCAACTTGTTTTTGCCCAGCTGTGTGGTACGGTCTGGGTCTGCTATGGTACAAGAGGCAGCAGCCTGTGAAAAATGCGGTCGCACAGTTGCTGCGGAAGATTGCAAGGAAGAGAGGGCGCGCTTGCCAGACCATCACTGCGACTGTGAGCCGGCCGCACGGCGCTTGATGCACCATGCCTCCCAGGCCTCCTGTGAGTAGTCGCCCGGGACCCCACCATTGTTGATGTGGGCGATCTTTGCTGCCTCGACCGCTCCCTCTAGCTCCGTCTGTGAGCCAAACGGGTAGTAGCTCGGTCTGGCCTTGGTGGGCTGTGGAGGCGGAAGCCCCGAGCTCGGGACGCTAGCCGTGCTGATTCCACTGACAGCGGAGGCTGCGTCACTGTGAGTGCGCTTCATCTGGGAGGTCACGTCGATCATGGCCCCCACGCCTCCACTCTCAGAGTTCACTGTGAAGGCTGCCTCCTGCTCCTGGGCTGCCATCTCTTCCATGAGCTCCTCTGTGGACCGAAGGCCTGTGAAGTGCGTCCTCTCCTCGGCGTCCGGGGGGACTTGGACAAACTTCACCGGCCATGGGAACTCATACCGGAACCTGGCGATCCAATGGTCTAGGCCTTCATCTTCGCCCTCGTTGTACTCCGGGATGGCCTTGGTCAGGAACCTGCTAAGTCTCTTGGCCTCAGCATAGTTGTGTGCTGTGAGGCGAGCTGCACTGTCGAAGGCTTCCTGCTCGACAGTCGTCTGGTTGACCTGTTGTCGCAATTGGTCATACCAGATGCTGCGCCAGGTCTCCAAGAGCTTGTTGGCATGTTCCCCCGGGATGTGGATCTCGCACTCCCAGTCTGTGAGGGTTCCTGTGGAGGTCGTCTGTGAAGGACCCCCACGGCGGTACACGATACGGCCCAGCCAAGCCTCTTTGGAGTCAACAAGTGCCAGCGTCTTCCACCTCGGCACCAACGGCTCTTTGGTGAACTTGCTGAAGGCCGCCCTGTAAGCGTTCATGAGTCCCTGGAGCGGCGAGGCGAGCCGGCGTTCAAACTGTGTGACTCCAGGAGAGAGCTTTACAGGCCAGGACCGCCGCCCTTATACTCATAGGTCTGGGCTTCCTCTTTGGACCCGGCTGCCTGTGAGGATGCCGCCGGGGTCTTCTCAGTCGTTCCTTCAGAACCGTCGTTTGCCTCTTCGGGCTCCTTGGGTTCCTCCGTTGTCCCAGGCTTCTCCTGGTGGAAGTACCAAGGGTACACCCTGTCCGATACCTCGGATCCGTTTCCGGATCGCAAGGGAAGGGACTGTGAGGATGGATGTGGCCGAGAGCTCCGGCTTGCCTGGCGTGCCCGTGTCTAGCCGAGTCGTGGCCAGGTCCCACATACCATCAATGTTCCACAGCCCAGCTTTCGCAAGGGCCTTTTCCACTGTGAGACGGCGGTCCGCCTCCGTCTGCCAGGTGGGGAAATTGCGGCATACGATGGTGCGCTTGGCCTGCTCGATCTGTGAGAAGAGCATGTCCTTCTCAGCCCATGCAGTGCGGATGCGAAGGGCCCGGACCTGCTGCTCCAGGTTGCCCACTCGCTCGTTTGTCCTCACCTGTGAGGTGGACAGGGAGGAGTAGACTGCTCCGAGAGCTGGGGCGACCTTCTGTTGCATCGCCATCTGCACTAACTCCATGCACTGCCCGACTGTAGCCGGGGCGTTGAGGTCTACCCCCTGGGCTAGCGGAACTGTGAAGGATTGTGGCTGCAGCTGAGTCGGAATTAGCACAGCAGCCGAAGACTGTGGGGCATCCATGCGTGCTTCCAACTGACTCATGCGTTCAGTAAGGTCTTGATGCTGCTCTTCACGCCGTGCTCCTTGCAGCTTCACTTGTTCTTGCTGAGCAGCCACTTCTGCCAGCAAAGTGGACATTTTGTCCAACTGGTCTCCCTGGCCCGACATGGCTTCAAGGAAAGAAGAGGGAGGGACCTGTGAAGCTTGAACCGCTCGTGAGCTTCTTCGACGTCGATGGTGAAATCATCACGTATCTTGTTGTCCTTGGGAAGGTTAACCTGCTTCGCAAGGCGCAAGGCCAAAGGAAGACTGCCAGCCTGGCCCCACCTCTCAGTGAGGCATAAGAAAGTCTCAACAGCTTTAGTATGCAGAAACCGAACTTCTTCTGCAGACCAAGCGTCAGGTCCAGCCGAGCCCTTACACTTGACAACAGCTTTGTAAGCTGCTCCAGACTAAGAGGTTCCCACTCGCGAGGGGCCTGCTGAGCCTCGGTGGAGCTTTGGAGCAAGGTGTCAAGGACCTCAGCTGAAGAGTGTTGCCGGTCCTGCCACACCTCTTGCCAGTGAAGCCTGAGGAAGTCGTGAGCATGTACTCGAGTTGAAGACACGTGTCAAAGCAATGGTATCTTGTAAATGGCATGTGTATATATATACACACATCGAATATGTGTACATATGTATATATATATATATATGTGTGTGTGTCTTGATGCATGTACGTACGTGTGCAGGGAAACGCATGAGATCTAATCTTATATTCAGATCATGTTCTCTTGCGCGTCGCCACGCCACTAAAACTACTAACTAGTTTCACCGCTTCTGTCCGATTGGCTTCACCCCGCGCACGAGCACTTCGCGTCTCATCAATACATTAACTTCCAATTCAAGCAAAAAGAACCACGCGATCAATTATCATCCTGCGTCATCCAACAAGTAGTTTACCGGGAATTCTGGCCTTCATGAGTTCGCACCATGAAATGGTCCATGACGCGAAAGTGCTGTAAAACACAGTACAGAAGCTACTGCCAGCAAACATCACCAAGCCCGAAAACACTGCGATCAATTAGCAGCGCGGCGCCTAGTAGTAGTAGTAGTAGTAGTAGTAGTAGTAGCAGCAGCAGCAGTAGTAGTAGCAGTAGTATTCGTAGTAACAGCAGCAGTAGTAAGAGTAGTCGTTGTCGTCGCAGGCCTAGTCGCAGGGTAGTCGTCGTAGGGTCGTAGCCGTAGTCGTCATCATCGTCGTCGTCGTCGTAGTAGTAGTAGGAGCAGCAGCAGCAGCAGCAGTAGCAGTAGCAGTAGCAGTAGCAGTAGCAGTAGCAGTAGCAGTAGCAGTAGCAGTAGCAGTAGCAGTAGCAGTAGCAGTAGCAGTAGTAGTAGTAGTAGTAGTAGTAGTAGTAGTAGTAGTAGTAGTAGGCAGTCATAGTCATAGTCATCGTAATAGTAGGCGTAGAGCAGATGAAGAAGAAGCTGCGAACTCGCCAAGCTCCTGTCTTCCGTAATGATGCCGCCGTTCCTGCAGCAGGATACAGAACTTTGCATCGGCTGCAATTTCGCTTGCTTGGGGATTGTCGCATAGCGCCATCACACACAAAATCTGCAAAATGTAGACAAACGGTTCAGGCTTCTTAACCGCATCTGCCTCCACCGGTTCAGATCCGGCGGCGGTGACGATAAGTTTTGCGGCCTGCTAAGGCCAGAGGCGTCCAGAGGACTTTCAGGAGGTAGTGGATAAACCTTTCGCTTTCTGATACGAAACAAAACTGTCAAGGTGTGGCTTTCCGTTCAGAAAAGAAAGTCAGCCACGAACTGTGCATAACCCGAAATCGAGATTGGATGACCCTGACCTGTGGGACCCAAAGCTGGCCATGCCAGATCCTTCCCATGGATGGCCGAAACGCTCTGCGTGTGCCTGGATCTCGTCCATGGCTTCATGCTTGGACACAGCAAAACCGACTGATGGCCCGGATTTGTCGTAGATGGTCACCTGGTCTTGGAGTGAAATACTGGATGTCAGCTGCTCGGCTACTCGTGCACCTGCCGCTGCATGTTGCTCCTACCGCACAACAGCTTAGCTTGGAACAAATCGTCGCAGAAACGGGTCGCCGAAGATGAACAGAGGTCCCTTACGTGCCCATGTGTCGCGTCAAAGGGTTCGTCACTCAATGCTGTAGCAGCAGTGGCAGCACCACCAGCAATAGAAGTCGCAAACGAAGAAGCAGAAGTTGAAGTGGAAGTACTGCTGCTGTCACTGCCACTGCGACTGTCCCTGCCACTGCCCATGCCACGGCCACTGCTACTGCCACTGCTACTGCCACTGCTACTGCCACTGCCACCGCTACTGCTGCTGCTGCTGTTGCTGCGGCCTGCTGCTGCTGCTTTTGCTGCTGCTACTGCTACGACTACTACTACTACTACTACTACTACTACTACTACTACTACTACTACTACTTCTACTACTACTACTACTACTGCTACTACTACTACTACTACTACTACTACTACTACTACTACTGCTACTGCTACTGCCACTGCTACTACTACTTCTACTTCTACTTCTACTTCTACTTCTACTACTACTACTACTCCTGCTACTACCGCTAGTATTACTACCACGACTACTACTACTACTACTACTACTACTACTACTGCTACTACTACTACTACCACCACGACAGCTACTACTACTACTACTACTACTACTACTACTACGACTACTACGACTACTACGACTACTACGACTACTACGACTACTACTACTACTACTACTACTACTACTACTACGATGCCGACGACCACCACTACCACCACTACTACTACCACGACGCCCACCACCATCACCACGACGACTACCAACTACCAGCTACCAGTACTAGCACAAGTACGATCTAGTACTGCTACTTTTATTACAAGCTTGCACTAGTACTATACTATGATGTACAAAAGGAGTGGGCCTGACCTTGCTGGACCAAGTTTGTGAATTTTTCCTATATCGTTTTGTGACTGAGAGATAAGAGCGAACGAACCAAAATTTCGTCATTTCACACGTGATCTTCTGACCATTGGTTTGGGTCCGCAATCAGGCCAGAGCCATCATGGCGCTTTGACTTTCGGTCGCCTGCAATCGTTGAAATTGAACCTGATATGTCTGTATGTATGTATGTATGCATGTATGCATGCATCTTTTTCTTCATCCGTGCATTCAGGACCATTTACTTATGACGGTCATACCTCCTATCTTTGACCATTTACCTTTGACTGCGGCTCCTATCTCGTTGAAGCAAAACCCGAACTACCACGTCAACAAGTCTTCCCGTCGTATGGCATTTTGCTGCATGAGCAATTCGTTGCAACGAAACATCGCGATCCGAAGCTCTTGACGCCAAGAAGTACGAAAAGCATTCCTTTTTCGTCGTGTAGTGTAGGAGGCCACACATTGATGTTGGGCAAGCAAGCTCACAACCGTCGAACGGCACCGGGTGCGAACTTCGGTTCTGCAGAAACCACGTTGGCAACACACCATGGTCGTTTCAGACCTTGCGGCCGAGGCGGAGGACAACCCCCATCCATTCTGCGCTAGGTCTGCTAGGTTAGGTTGGGATGTCGACGTCGTCAGGACATGGTCCAGAGCCAAAGCATCCAAAGGGTGACCCCTCTTGTGCGACCTTGGAGTGACGTTAATTTTGAGCCCTGCGGCCTCAAAGATGCCGCAAGGGGCCACCCCAACCATCGAGCCATAGTGCTTCAGGCAGCTACACTTAGTGTTGCATCACCATGGCAGCGTTTATGCAATTTATGCATCGGTAACCTAGACATGCTACCTTTGCAAGGAGTCTGCAAGAAGGACAAGACCGAAAGGTGTCTGACGATGAAACTTTGAGAGGAACAGCGACAAACGACGAGAAAGACAGGCCAAGAAGAGATTGGCAAGAGTAGCAGTCGACGTCAACGAAGGCCATACAAGGCTCAAAATATCTCAACATGCTGTGCCTGACCCGGTATGGTGTTCCCGGTTTTCTGTAACGAGGGTGGTGTCGCAGATCGACCCATTCGATGGATGCTTCCAATGGCCGGACGAAGCGCGCGAAGGATTCCTCCAGCATGAAACTTATCTTGGCTGCAGACGTGACTGCAAGGCTTGAACTATGAGAAGGCTCCTCTAGGCTGCTGCGGCTCAGTCCATGCAAGGCTCTAAGTGTAGGGTCTTGTTGAAAGGCTCGCACCACCGACAGTCTGCAGCTGAGATCGGCCATCCAGCCCCCTATCTGAGTCCCTTGCCCGAGGCGGAGGCACATCGAGCGGCATCAGCGAGAAACTGCAACCCGTCTCGTCCTTGTCCTCTCGGGCAACGCAAGCGAAACACAGAATCATGTCATATCAGATCATACCAGCACCAGCATCAATCTGACATTCCCTTTTCGGCAACAAGCCCCTCCAGGCCAAGCGTGCAAATCATCGCATGGCGGTAGAAAGGAGCACGCAAGGAGGTCCCTCACGTCCCTTGACAAGACAAATGGAATGCGCAAGGACACCTGGAAATCCGCCGGGGGGGCGGGTGACACGTGCAAGCCTTCAGCACAGATTGCATCGGCCTGTAGGATAATCCGGGGTCAAATCCACATTGATTGCTTTGATGTAGACCTATGCAATGTGAGCTGACACGTAGGCACAGTGCGGGCACTTTTACCGAACACCCGACACACACCGAACCTTTAGCAAACCTTCCAAACTGAGACTCGTCACGGAAATTCGAGTAGCCTTAGGAATTTCACCAACAAGTGCCACAGACACCAGTCTATGACGAGAAGTTCATTGAACTTCTCTCCGGGTGTGCATTGGTTTACAGTGGCTCTGGCTCAGTCCCTAGAGGAAAGCAAAGCCCAGAGTCCATGCCCAGCGCCTTCAGAAAATCGAAATGGTTAAAAGGTTGCAACATCTGCAGACTGCATGCAAGGTTCCACTCCCAATAGGGGACGGATCCGTTGGACCGGAGCCACCGACTCGAAGAGCAGCAAAGACCCTGATCGTCACGACCTATCGATCAAGGTCTCTCGAAGACAAGTCAAGACCAATTACCATCACCATCGCACGAATATTCCTCTGTCGTGATCTGGGCCAAACGAAAGTCTCCTGCCGCAGGTACCCAAGCATAAACCTTCTGTCAGAGAAATGCACGACCAGTCAAGAGCTGTCTATGTAGCAATGTAGAAACAACATCCTCTAAAACGGCAACACCAACTCTGTGCAGCTGACCTCTACCGTCTGCATGGGTCGATCTTGTTCTTTTATGTTCATGCCCTTACTGGTGTCCTTGACCTTTCCGATCTTCTTAGCTTCTCTCTCACCGTTTGGAGTAAAGATGACTTGGAGAGAGAATCAAACCCCGATTCAGGAACTGATGACAATGCAACCCGTCACTGCCGTGTCTGGCTTCGAGCCGATGATTCCAGACATCAGTCAGGCTTCGCCCACTGCTGACATAGCATACTCGGCAGCTGCCCTGGCAAGTGCGAGTGCGACTCTTGATTCTGTACTGACAACGCGTTTGAAGTCAGCAGGAATGTTCTTCAGCTGCGCAACCAAACCTGCTCAAGGCTTAAAGGGCGGTGACCAGATGCAGCTAAAGCATCGCTCGACAAGGCTGTGCCTCTCCTCATGGAAATATGGACACGATGGCAAACCAGTCGTGTCTGGACATGCTCAACTTAGCATAACAGTGAGCGAGTCATGAGAAAGCACAGACATGTCGAACTCTGGCTTTTCATCTCTCTGAAGAGACGCCACTCCTCTCGAGAAGTGGTTTGATACATCGAGGAAGAATGATTCAAAAATTCGGAAGAAAGCAAGCTGTAAAGATGCAGCTTGTACATGTTTGTGTGCTTCAGCCATGTTTGCATGGCTGCTTCACGTGCAGTCCAGCGACGGCACTACACCAAAACAAAAGCAACTGTAGTTTTCTGTAGTACTGCCCTCATCAGATATTGCGACTCTCACGCAGAAAACCTCGTCTTTCATTGTTTCATCATTCGTGCCAACGACCAGCATTGCAGAGACACTCACGACGGACATCTGAGGCCAGCACCCAGGTCTAGAACCTGAAACTTCTGGCAACTCCGCACAAGCCTTCAAGGGCGTTCACTTCTACAAAGTGGAGACTGGCGCTTTCCTTGCCATCGGATCTCAGGCGGAAATGTACAATTTAGCCTTGCCCTGCCTGTTCAGCTTCCCGTGGGAGGCTCGCTCCACGAAGGCCTGGCATACGCAATCAGTGGTAGGCTTCTCTTTCAGACTGCGCTTGGCATAAAGCCTCACTTTCGTTGTGCTTGGTAACCAGCCAGAGGTCACCTGTCAGTCATTCGCATTTTCGGAACGGTTGAACGAAACCATTAAACCATTATCCTGCCTTTTGTCAGGACATCCTGGATGTCGCGTATCGCCAAGCCCTGATGGGTAGAAGGTTGCTCGTGGGGCCAGGCTGTCAAGACAGGATGTGACGCGCCGGAGGCTTCACAAGCAGGCCTTGATGGTGTCAATGCGGACATGCACGGACACTGCCACCGAGGCTTCCGACTGGCACACAGAGCTTTTCATGTGTGGACATCCGCACAGCCGTGGATTGGGATTTTTTCGTGCAAGGCACGCCACGTCTATCTGATCCGTCTGTTCTTCTCTACCTGTTTTCCCGGCGTGCACCTGTGGACAGCATGGAGTGCTCCACCAACCACTACAGCTTACAGACAACACAAAGTATAACTTGTGACAGTGAAGAAAATTAGACAAACAGCCGGCAGGGGTGTCTAACAAATGCAGAAGTCCTCTGCACTATGAAAGGAATGTTGTATCGCCGGGCAAGCCCACAGGATTAGGTTCTTCCTGCTCCAGTGTTCTTCACTTCCGTCTTCCATCTGGGCCCTCCCGTTTGTCCCAAACCTCTGGCTCTAGAGTCTGGTCCGAGCTGTGGGACCTCGGGCCAGATCTCGCGAGCGCAGCGGTAGATCTCGCTGAGGACCCGGAGACCTTCTCTGCGAAGAAAGACACGGGAAACCGCATCAAAACAACCGTAGCACCCTGCAAACGCAAATCTAACGCAGTTGGCGGAAAAGATCCGTCTGACTGTGGTCTGAAGCCACAAGGACCTTGAAGCTCCGGGACTCGTGGCCCGGGTCTGAAGTTCTGTCTGAGGCTCACGCGGAGGACAGCGGAGTCGGAGCCTTTGCCCAGATGAAAGCGCCCGAGTAACGTTCCTGTGAACATGGTGAGGAAGGCACCTAAAGCTTGCAGAAAGGCCGGCCCGTAGTAGACCAGGAAGGCTGGTCCGGCCTTTCAAGCACTGCATTCCTCTTTGCGGGGCCCAGACTCCAGAACGCACCCTGGTACCAGGGCGCCGACTGCCTTCGAGATGACCTCTGAGGGTGTCAGCTCAGGGCTGAAGAACTGGCCTCGAGTCTCGATCTCTCAGAAACACGTCGCTCCTTACTCTGTTCCCGTGCGAAGGATGGCCTGCGCAGCCGGTCCGGGACATCTCTACACTCAGAACCTCTTTGTCCTCACAGGCTCGCCAGTATTCGCCAGTGGTCAGCCAAGCAAGGTTTGGACTTGGACTCAGGAAGTCCTCCGAAGGCAGTTCTTGATTGAATGCATCGACAATCGTTCGCCCATTGGCCTCCGGAGAATAGAGAGAATCTCTGCTCAGCCGAAACGAAATGACTGCTGCTCAAATGTGCAGGCCTGGGCCATGCACAAGAGCCTCATGGCTGCTATTGCATGGGGGCCTTGCAAGGACAAAGAAGCCAATTGGCAAACGGGGCTCACAGCGTCAGAAGCATCATCAGCAGTTGCTGAAACTGCTGAAACGGCATGGGTCCCAAGCCTTTGGGCGGCTCTCCAAGCGTCGGCACGTGGTCCGACCAGCGGTACTTTAGGTATTTCTCCATGACCTCTGAGGAGAGTGCTGATTCAACAGAGCAAGCCGTGACCACGATTTCTGCAACCCTTCGCTAACTGCACCATGCTGCACCTGAGTCTCTGTTCGCACGGAGATGCCCTCTATGAACTTGAAAGACTGGAGGAAGCTGTTAAGCACCTCGGCCGGTCGTCGCCCCCCTTTTTCTATGCGAGCTTGCAAGATGCATGTCTTCCCTGAGCTATCCTCGCAACCCTCCGAGGGCCGATCATGGAGAGGAAACTTGATCACAAACTTCTCACAGCCGCCCAGGGGTGTAGGTTCCGCACCAGCCTGCTGTGAAGCGAAACCCTGCCTCCTGGCCTATCTGCTCGTGCCAACTTCCTCACTATCAGCTGGCATGGTTCAGGAGGTGCTCGCCCATGGTAGCCCGAATGAACAGAAAGAGCCAGTGCAGCGTAACCGAGGTCCCTGCCAAGTCAGTCAGCCAATGCACGAAGTAGAGGGCGATGTCTCTTGCCCCACCATGCACCCTGCCGTGAACGCAAGGCCGGGATCTCGGCCGTTCTCTTCCTATGCACTTCTGCAGACCCGCAGTGGGCGAGGCCCAGGCCTGCGGTCTCGTGCCACCGCCTCCCGCCAAAGCCAGCTTAGGGTGGTCCAAACGGCCGCCGGAGTACCCTAAGCTACAACCGCGGTCCCTTCCGGCCTCGCGAAACTTGGAAAAGATCGCACCTGCTGGAGCCTGCTGTGCAGTGTGGAAACTGCGGCATACAGATTTGTCTTCCCTGCAGGCAGTTGCGGAATCTATGGGACCAGGAGGCCTCCGCCTGCACGAGCCAGCCGTGATTGAAGCAAAGGTTGCACCTCGAGCAGTGTACCGTAAGAGGGTCGGGCATCACTGTTGAAACATCTGTCGCACGGATGCCATCTGCATCAGAGGTCGTAGTGATTGCAGAAACGCTGCTCATCTGTGTCATCTAGCAATGGAGAAGCTCACAGAAAATGCCCGGTGTCACGGCCCACAACAATTCCGAGAACACAAACAACATTTCTGCAATTGTGATGTGAGCTCGAAGAAGCACAACCTGCCTGCAGTTCACATTGTGACTCTAATCGTGACTTTGCCAGCTGGGTCAGCGACTGCGTGAATTGCACGGACTGACGCTCTGCCGGGTCCAGGTCTTTGAACGAAGGCAACAGATCAGGATAGTGGTCCTTCCATGAATGCATTCAGAATGACAGCTCTACTTTGCCGACAACGAGATGTCTGCAAAGGTGCTTGTGTTCATATGACATCACCTTACCTTGCTGCTTCCACATAATTTAATTTGCATCAATGTGTATGTCGGTTGGGTTGGGTCTAGTCGGTCGTTCGGGTGCTCGTGTGTTCTTACGTTTGCAATTTCGCCCATCTTTAGATTCTTACAGTAGATTATACTGTATCGTCAGACTGTTACATTGTTCTGCGCCGAAATACGATTAGATTATTGCTGTGACTGTGCTATATTACTGTACTATAGTTTTATGATGCGCTTCTCTCAATGCATCTACATCATTATGTTACCATGACATTTTCTTGTTGTATCGTCATGTTATTATTGAGTTATTGTAGCAGTATGACATTGAGTTGTGCCGTATTTGCAAAACAACTCCTAAGATTTAGTTATTTTATACTATCATACTACATAGGTTGAAAATTTTGTGCAAGGAAACATGCAGTATTATATATACATATATAAATAAATAAAGTGTGTATGAACATAGAAATCTACGATAGTATAACCACTATGTAAGCATAACTGCTGCTGTCGTTATTCTGATTCGCTCATTATTTTCTGCATCACTATCTTACATTCTCGTATTCTCGTACGAATAGATTCTTGTAATCTCATAGTCTAAGATACGGATGCTCTTTCAACATTGTATTCCTACGTTGTTGGATTCCTTCGCTGATAACAACCTCGTTTTTAGCCCTACCTTGCACTGACCCAAGCAACCGGTGGAGCGCAAGGCATTGGCCTAGCTGTGAGCATCAAAAATCTCGTCTGTGAGCTGCTTCGTATATAACTTTATCTGGATTTTTTGAACCAATACTTAAAATTTGATAACCTCTGCTCATACACAAACTTCGTAGAGAAATGTAGCCACTTCTCTGAGGCGACCACACGTGCGTTTTCCATAGTCAAGTGTGCAAGCAGTGCCCGGTAAGAACCAAATGAGTCGCATAGGGTCTTCGTTACCTGATCTTAGCACATATTCTCTTGCTGTCACCCCTTTTCGGAAAAGCTGCGGCTGTAGCAGCCTGCAAAAGTTGTTATTCGTATTCGCTCTGCTTTAGAAGGTAGAGGGCATTCCCAAAGTTCTACACAAATTTCTGTATTGGAGAAAGCGTCGAGTCTCTTGTACATGGCTCTAAACCGGACAACAGCTTACGTCGTAGACTGGCATCGAGTATGATTAATGTCCATTTTTTGCTGGCAAACGTTGCTTTCCAACACGAACTGAACTCAAAACATGTGCAGCGAACCTTTTGAATCTTGCTCAATATTTCATGTTGAATGTTCACTTCTTGGTTAAGCTCGTTGCTCAGGTATGTAGCCTCGAAGCTCTTCGTTCATGCGGAGCCGTCTGCAAGGCGGATGCTTCCGTCATGATTATAGGGATCGCCAAGCATCTCCTGTTGGTGTTAACCACACTGCTGAGGGATTTTTCTGTGAGACTGAGAAGCCCCGTTTAATCGCGAGAAAAGAATGGTATCAGCATCATACACCATATCGTCGTAGTAGTCAAGACCAGCAATCGATTGCTAACAACGTGGCAACTAACAGCTTCTCTGATGTTTGTGTCTGCACAAGTCATGACCAGTACAAAGACAAAGGATGAAAATGCCTGATGATTGCACTTTGCTTTGGTAGGTACTGTATACGTCTTTGCGGGACTGAGACTTTGCGAGTGATGGGAAACTGCAGTTTGCATTCGGGACCGGATCATCGTCATACAGGTGCTATTTAAGTGCGATATAGGATTGTAATTTGCAGCAACATCAGTATCGCCAGTATCACCCCATCTCTATCCAGCTGCTTGTTAAGCTCCATGACGGTGCCATCCGGTCCGAGCTGCTTGTTGGGCACGTAACAGTCTTCCAAACTTTTTCCAGGGTTAGAAGCGCTCTCCTGGCAGGTGTTGTTCCAGTGTTCATGCATTTGCCAGATATTCAGCGGCTATGGTTTCTGCACGCTGAAGTAGTGCTATATGTGTTCCCGTTTGATTCTTCATTTTCGCACAGTGAGGCACGAACTGTTCTATAGTTAAATGGCTGCCTTTCACATTTTCGTGGACTGGTCACCAGGGTTGTCATGAAATCTGTCCATAAGGTCTCTCTGTTTATCCACCTTTGCATCTTTTGCAATAACAATCTTGTGCTGTTACGTACTATGGAACATAGCTTTCACATGCTAATGGTATATGTTGCATCTTATTCCGTTTGCATGAAGCTTTGTGAACATTACTTTTCTATGTATACATACTGTCTTTCATAGTATATTATGCATTCCACCCTTACAAAACGGGTATTTTTTGTGCAATACTTGATTTATACCTTATACACTATATAATGGGTGTAAATACCACGATGCAGCGATGCGACGGAAGAACGACACTAACCCATCCCTGCAGCTGACAAAGTCCATCACGTAGCACAGCGCGTGGTCGTGGTCGCCGATGACATCCCCGGCTGCATAACCTCTGAGAACTTAGAACATATGTCCGAACTTCGAGGTGCTTCAGGCCACGAGTATCCTAATGCTCCTATTGCAGCTCTGGGGCCGTGGTATCCGTCATGCTCGGGTTGCACCTGCACTTTCCGGTTGTCTCGCAAAACCCTGCTGTCAATTCAAGTCGTTGCAACAAATCACTGAATCACCGGCTTGCTAGTCTGCAAGGACGCTACAGTGCCAAATGGATGCTCGGCACATCATGTTCGGCTCAGTCTAGTCTAGACCCCAACTGGGGCTGACCGTCGGCAGCAAGTTCTCGATCTTCATGATGTCATGGATGGCAGTAAGGGCCTCACGGTCACTCCAGAGCACGTAAGGGGTCAAAGGAGAAAACCCCGAGCGAAATCAATCACAACATCCTGCATCAGGCAGCGCGAGTGAGCAAACCTTGATCGCTCAGGTACTGACTAATAGCGAAACCATCCGCGTCTCCTTGACACGAAAGGTGTTCCTGCGAAATGTCGGGATGGCTGCTGGGAAGGTCGGTTGACGACAGGCAGGACCACCGGCGGGACTGCTTGGGAACCTTCTGAATGTTCCTAACGGACAACCCGACCTGCCGTTCTGGAACGAGGCTTCCAGGAGACCCGCCTGAGGGCTCGATCATAAGAAGAGTCATTCAACGATCTCCACTCGTTTTTGGCTGCGGGCGGTTCCTCCTGTGGTCAAGCTGACACTGCCACGCAACACTGTAAACCACATAGCAGCGGATGTTCAAAGCCGAAGCCTGTCAAGCAAGTCCCATTTACACCTTCGGCACCCTGCATGCACCAACTTAGTCTCAGTGCCGGCGGCCACCCAGCATTTGAACGCCGAGGTCCGCGCGTCAACCATGAGCCGACGAAAGAAACTCCACCTGGTCAACTTTCTACATGAAAATAAGCCGCCTACTGGCCTAGTATGCCCGAAAGCGCGGTGCTGCTCTCCCACCGCTCTCTCCCCCCGCACCGATACTTTTCGAGTTTGGGAGGACTTCAGCCCGAGGAAATTGCCTGCAGAATAGATTTACGTTGATTTTCTCTCTGCGATTCCAGAGATTGGGGGCCTGGAGATTCTTGAGGCCTTTGATTTGATGAAGCTCGTAACCTGCCTTTATGCTTTGTCGGCTGACAAGACCTTACAGCGGTCTTTGACGAGCTCTTGGAAGGTTTTGCAGAGGGGGTTGAGAGAAGTGAGTCCGGAGTCCGTTAGCTCCAGAGCCCTCCCGATGAAGCCACGATCCAAAGAACCCTTCATTCTAAGAGATGTTAGAAAGGTCAACCCAGAATTCACGGAGTAATAGCGAGCATATGCGGAGTATCTCCCACGACAAACACGCAGCAACTTAGCGACAACGAAATCTCACACAAAGGCCATGAATCCCTGGCTGGCGTGAAGCTGTTTTCCAACTGCTTCCGCTTCGGTGGCGTTATGTCTGCGTTTCGATCTTACAGATCGCAGCCATCGATCTTACAGATCGATGTAGGTCTTCCGAACAGGAAGCAACAAAGTTCTTTCAGCTGGGAGGACCGACTGGTTCCCAGGCGGTGCTCGCAGACAGGAAGCAGAGGAAAATAAATCGTATTAGAAAGAAGGTCGGGACGGGTGGGCGAAACAAAATTTCTCAAGCTGTAACAGCTTTTCGCCAAAATGGCCACGGAGTATGCAATCCTTCGAATTGAATCGGTGAGTCTATCCCCTGACCGATTCGGTGATCAAGTGAGATGATGAGTTGCCACTTCGCACAAACAAGTGTGTGCTACACGACAACGAGATCTCACACAAAGGCCATGAATCCCTGGCTGGCGTGAAGCTGTTTTCCATCTGCTTTCGCTTCGGTGGCGTTATGTCTGCGTTTCGATCTTACAGATCGCAGCCATCGATCTTACAGATCGATGTAGGTCTTCCGAACAGGAAGCAACAAAGTTCTTTCAGCTGGGAGGACCGACTGGTTCCCATCGAGGGTGGTCGCGTCCTCCCATCGCAGGCGAACGCCACTCGAAGGTTAAGTCAAATGAGCATCGCAGTCAGCTGATCGTGCAATCTGCAAATTTCGGGTGTGTCGGAAAAACCCGTAGAAGAAGCAAAATGAATGTCTCCTATGATCTTCGCAGCCCTACTAGTTAGAGCGTTCAAAGGTAAGTCGAGTTTAGTCCATGTCTCAAACTCTGGTACGTGCTCGAAGCGGCTGATCCCGTCGGAGATGTTGGCTTTGGTGGGAACACGTTCGAGTCGGTGTGCAAGACTTCGTCGATTGTGCCAAGTCCAATGTGCCGCAATGAGGCAATTGAGGGGCTGATGCTTGCCGACGCCTTTGAGGAGGGCGTGTCGAGAGGCCTCGTTGTCACAGCACTGGACGTAGAACTTGTCGAGCCATGGCTCGAAGACCAGTGGAGCCAAGATGGCGACCCAAGCTTCGAGGAGGTAAATGAAAGCCTGGTCGGAGGAAAACTGTCGCACGAGTAGTGAGGGGAGACGACCTTGGAAGTAAGCGGCCGTTTGCACATCACCGTGGTGGAAGCAAACTGCAGCCCATCCGTTTTCGATGTCGGATGTGGATTTCGAGTCCCAATTCGGGATGTCGTCGTCCCCCGGCCTGTAGATGTGGGCGCCCAGGCGGAAGTACGCATCCGTGTAGATGACACTGTATTTAGGTCGGGTCATCTGTCGCGGTATCGTCATCGGGCGACAATGTTGTATGATGTCCTTGAGCGCAAGTAGTGAAGATCGAGTGGGTTTGTCGAGAGCATGTGAGTGGGAATGGGCGCGAGCATACAATGCTTTCAGGGCCGCGCGGCCCACTTTCCCGAATAGTCGTCCGGTGAGGAAGTTGCACTTCCCAGCCATCTTCCTGGCTTGTTCGGGTGACAATGACGAAGTCGCAAGGTGTGTGTCGATCTGCTTACACATATTCTCAACGCGTTTGGGACACGGAGTCAGCACCAGGTTGTCGTCGTTGGAAGAGATGATGACGCCCTGGATCCGATGTGCGGTTTGAGGTGGTTGTCTTTTACTGGGTTTCATCGAGATTTGTAGACACCCGTTGTACTCTTCGAAGGATTCGAAGCTGCCCTTGGCCAAGTCGGAGTCTTCCATGGATCCGTAGTCGTCGACGTAGTGCATCGCTGGGGACAGAATCATCGTGCGACTGCACGCGACCAGGATGTCGCCGAATCGGTTGTACGACCATACACTGGCTGCCGAACCAAAGAGTAGGACGTTGTGGCTCCACAGCGTCGGGCCGTCCGGCGTGAGTAGCATCACATATGCTTCTCGAGGATCTCGTAGTGGGAGTTGTCGGTAAGCTCCGTCGTGGTCATGTCCCCAGACCGAGAGGGGCTTGAGTTGATCGTGTCGAATCGTCGCAAGTCCCAGGGAGATGAAGTGATCGGGCGTGTGATGGTATGGTTGGTCGTGCATCGTGCATGTCGCATTGTGTCCACTTCGTCGCCAATCTTCGCCTCTTCTGACCTTGTTGTTGCCGTCGCTGCCCGTCTGTTCGATGCTGAAAGCCATGGCGATGTATGGGTCGGAGTGTGGCAGTGGTAGTAAGGTTCTGTGTCGTCCTTTATGTGGGACGGTCGCGGTTCGAGGCCACCAGTCCGGCGCCTCAAACGGTCCGTTCATCCGGCCCATGTCGACTTCTGCCAAGATCTCGTCCAGCATGAGTTCCCAGTGATCGTCAACGGAGTTCTTGTCGATCTTCTCTTTGATGTACTGTCGGTTATTCTCGCGGAACTCGTCGATGGGAGTAGGTTCGAGGTACTTCTGGTCCTGTCTCACATGCCAATTAATTCCCGGAGTCAGCTTCCCCATAAGGGGAAAACCTTCGGAGAGCTCACGGTAGATCAACTCGGTTTGTGGATATTGTATCATCCGGAGAAGGTGAACAAGCACAGGTATCTGTGTGACCGAGTCTTTATGGCGATATGCTCGTTGTACGTGTTCTGGAAGGGTGTCGAACCATGCCATCGTGTGTTCCTCCATGTCGTCGACGAGCTCCTTAATGTCGGCGATGACGGCCTTCTGGAAATCCATGAGTGGGTGAAACGCATGTCGATGTTGTAGGCACCACTCGAGCGTAGGGTCGAGTGTTTTCGGTGACAAATGTGTGTATCCCTGTGTAATGCCCAGTCGAGATGATCGGTCCAGGAAAATTGTGGCATGTAGTCATGATTCGGGGTTCGGGGTGGTGGGCCAAATGGTACCTTATGGTGCAACCAAAAGGAGGTGATCTGTTGTAATGGGGAAACTCGAGGTGTATCGGGTATGGATGCGTCAACTGTCCCCAGCAGGAGCAAGAAGATGATCCAAATCGCCGTAGGTAGGTGCCAAGCGTTGCCCAGGGCCGTGCAACGTTTTGTCTCGTCACCATTTCCGAGTGTCGCCGTGTAGTCCAGCGGTAAGCCTTGTAGTTGTTCGCGTAGAGACGATGGAGCCGTAGTCCATGACCCGTCCGACAAGGTAACGAGGAATTGGTCTTCGTACTGCCATACCGGGTATCGTCGGTTGTCCTGTTCCCATCGGTTCCATGCATCCTGTGATGTCGAGCGGTCTCGGAGTGGTCTGGGGGGTTCTCGTCCGAATGTCGAAGTAGATGGTGTAGTCAAACAGTGAAACAGTTTCTGGTCGTTGTGGAGACACGGTGGCAAGGAGTATCCCCGGGCGGAAATCTGGGGTTGTAGGTCGGGGCCGATCGGGTTGTGTAGTCGATGCCATTCTCCATCTAGTCGCCAATCGAGTGACCAAGGTGTGAGACGAGGCAGTCTCTCTTCGACGGTGTTCCAGGGGATCGATGTCCACCACAGTCTCTTGCGGTGCATAACGCCGGAGTCGGCGGCGTCGATGACGATCGGATCCATGCTCATCGGGGATGTGAGTTCCACGACATTGTCTCGGACGTCAGGATGGGGCACCACATTCTCGAAGATCGTCTCGATCGGGACGCCCGTGAAACGTTTTCGGATTTGATGTTCGATGCTGACCATGTGTCTGAAAAGCCAACCTGATGTGCCGTCGGATCCTTTGGGTTGACTTCGCAGACTGGAGAAATCCGGGCACGGAGGACCTGCCGTGATCACCATGATATACTGTCTGTTGTTCGTCGCGTTCTCGATGTGTTGTACGACAGTCTCGAGGTCGAACTGTCCGACGTCCCCCATGTGTACAGATTCGAATAGTTTCGATGTGAAATTTGCACAATCGGAGTCGATCTCCCACGCGAGGGTGATGATGACGTTCTCGTTGATGCGTCGGAGTGCCTCGGAGGCGATCCCGATACCATCGAA